CTATCGCCGTTGATTTCGACAGAAGGCTTTTCGATCGCGCTATATTCCATAGGCGTGACAGGGCTTGTGATAGACATCCAGTAGTTCTTCGTCCATCATACTCGGCATGCACCACCACTGCTTTTCTCTTTCCTCACTGTGTCCCAGGGAAGGGGAAGAGTATATTCTACTGGAAGCGAGGTCGGGCGCAGCGACTGATAAGATATTTCGTTTCCAGCCCACGCCTAGCTCACACAAATGTTCTGGTCCCTGGAAGTACAAGCACCGAACTTCACACTTCGATAAAGTGCTCATAAGCTATGTTCCTAAAATTGCATTAAGACAGTGCCATTACGGCCTCATTATTCACTTCAAGGACCAAGTCAACTTGCAGGTAGCTTACCCCAAAGTCATGACTTGTAGAATATAGTAGCTTAAAAGTGATATAGTCGGCTGTGGTCGCTCCCCTATATTAATCGAGGATGATTATCTTCATTGAATTGTGCTGGTAGCCTGGGTACTTTCTTGTACTTGACAGGGCTGCGATCATGCCAGAAATAATCGGCCTCGATTATGTGATTAACGGCGGCAGCACATCTGGACAGTTTAGCCCATCGTCTTCACCAGCGACGGATATCGAATACTGAAGATCAGAATAACACTTCTAGGCCTCCACGGTCCAGTTCGGGCCAACTTTTGCGCTGACCTCTTCTCCCACTCCTTCAAACGAATAGCCGTACCGGATCTGGGCGGCAGCGATGGTGATTTTTTAGTACTGTTAATAGTGGGAGCCGATTAAAGTAGCAGCAGCATTATAATTGAAGTAAGTAGCTAACTCAGTAATTTCACTTCCCCCAAGAACGGTACCAGTAAATAAAACATTCAGTTTTACTTTGCATGGCACTCAACTTCCTGTATAAGATCATTAAAGTGATCACGAGGAATGAAGACGCAACATCGTCGCCCAATTTGAACGATCGCTTATTTAACAGTACTTCCAGATGCCGGATTTTTGTTTGCCATGCGACTGCTTTCAAGGGCCCTACACTCGGTGCTCCAAGATCCAACGACTCTGCCCACTTCCATCCTGCAATTGGGGATGTATCACGCTTATTAATTATGTTATTGTGCTTTTTATGTTACGTATGTTCTGTTTGACCGAGACTATTATTATCTTCCTCCGCACTCACAGACAAATCATCTCACTCAGGCTGGCTTCTTTATCCTAGTGAAGAGGAGGATGAGGATTCAAATATTTCCCCCTTTAAGGCATCTGTTCCTGCCTCTCCCATGCCAGTGAGAAATATCCCACGGCCCTCATCTTCTACTACTGATATAACCCAGTCACGGAAGCAGGCTCCGAACGCTGGGCCCAGCGGATCACACGTTGCTCTTTCATTTCGTTTTGCCCGCCCATTCACCCCATCTTTATCTACACGACATCCAGAAAACCCTTCCCAGTCCTGCGCCAACGACTAGTCTGTCTTCGCCTTACCCCCAACCAACCGCTCAGACACAGCTTGCATTTAACTGCACTCTGTTGATGCCCTCAGTGGTCAATATTTTTGTATTGCCGCAGTCCATGCTTACACAGGTTAACCTATTCACTGACCATTTTCAATAACTCATATATTCGGAACTGTACCTCACTTGTCGCGCACTGTTTCGCGCAGTTTAATAGGAAAAAAAGGCAGCAAGATTATTTTCTGTTATCTTCTAAACGAAATTGTCGCTTGGCAGAACCACTACTTAGCAGGATCTTTGGTAAAGCCGAGGGGGGACTCGAATGACCATTCCTGGTTACTTAACAGTTGACCGCCGACCATTCCTCACCTCGGTCACTTTGTTCATTGCGCATTGACTTGTTGTCCTGGCGGTTGCGCTCGGAAATTTAGACCAACATAGGTGGGCACTCTCCGATCTGAGTATAGTATGGAAAGTTCCAGTCCCCTTTTGCCTTAGACCTCCAATCCAGAGTCCCATGAGTTCTCCTATGATAATAAGTGATTCAGATGCTAATATGTTCTTTCTTCGCAGTATTCTGCTGTCTGTTCAGTGCAAATCCCTCTAGCGAACCCATGTTTCCATAAACCTTTCTAATGGGTCTCAGCTATTTCCGATAGTAGTTGTTGACATAAGGTGCACCGTGCGTGTTAAGCGGCGGCCCTTAATGAGATAGTCGAAGTGAGCGAAGGAGGCACTATCACAGTGATGTGTCTTACTGACAGAATCCAGTTCATGAGAATTCTCACATGGCCACGCCGCGAGACAGGTTTCAGATACGCTTGGTCATTGATAAACGTTAGCCGATTTTCTGATGGTTTTAGAAGACTCCCGTCACTGGAGTGGTGTGATGGTGTGGTTGGTCTTATCGTCGACGCGTGAGCCTGGTATATAACATGCCCCACAACCTCTCTATTGGCTGATTGATTACCATGAAGTACAGCAGAGGAGGGGAGGATGAGGAAGAGAAACTGAAAAGTAATTATAGCAACGGCAATAGTGTAGACTATAATGACGACGATCCTGATGACGATGATTGGAAGGGTGATGATCGTGATGCCAGTCCCGGTGGTAATTTTAAAGGGGATAATGATAAACTGGCGCACAAAGAGTAATCGATGGGGGCGAGGACGATGCTAATAATGAAGGATGAAGAATGGCGATAAGGGTAACTCCAGCTACGTAGACGATGCTGGTGAACATTCTGCCGATGATTTGAACGCTGGTACCGATTAAGGGGGCAAGTGCTTCCGTTTATTTTGTCACGGTGGCCGGAAATCTCATTTTAATCACCACTGGCAGCAAATGCACCATTATCGTCTAATGGGCCGCCATCGCTGTCGTCTCCGTCATAATCATCTTTCTCCATCTGTTGCGCTCTGTGCGAGTTTCGACATTGCTGGCTCGACATTATCATTGACACACGAACTCTCGCTTGTGTTCTTTTTTTGACTATTTTCCTGGTAAACCTCTGTGGGAATGTAGAATATTTTGTCATCAAAGTTCACCCAGGAAGAGTAGAAGTTACAACTAGTTTTTACGCAGACACTGCACTAACATTGTACTCTTTATTTCTTTGCGTAAGGAATGAACGCTGATCGAGCTTCGGAGTCAGTCATTCATTTTTTGAGTTATTGACCTCGTGTAGCGGTTTATCAT